CGGGGCACCCTAAGGGTTAGGGGAGCAGCCCGTTATTTATAATGTAGTTTTGTTACGTTAGAGTTCGGCTTTAGCTCCCCCAGTATTTTACCATGAAGAAGGCTGAAGTCTGGGCTCCAGTACGATGCTAAACGCAGTGGATTTACGTCTTTCCCTGGTTGGGTTTGGTCTGGAAGCTTTTCTTCAACCGCTGTTGGTTGGGAGGGTACCCGAGGATCCTTCCGTGCCCTAACACCATTACCAAAACGCCGAGAGTTTCGATTGAAGCACGAGCTCAGCTTTTACTCATCTCCTGCCTTCATCCAAATCTTTTCCTTCTTAAAAAACACTCTTTCAACAAACCCCTACACACTGGGGAATTAAGAGCAGTAGTGGATTTACCCTAAACACCGCATTTTTAGCGTAGCTGCATCCCGAGACAGGTTGTGCCTTGCACGACTGTCTAGCTGGTTTAGAATACTTAGCAGCCTTCTTGAGGTTACCCAAGGTAACCTGTAACCTGCTAAATAGGGGGGGACTTGACAACATTTTGGGAACCAGGCTGGATTTAAATAGTAACTGCTTAATGATACAAGTCCAGGATACCCATTTGTAGTAATCCATCTATCCTACAGAAAGCCCGGAATCTCAGGGACCTATTCATTTCTTTGCTTCTCCAGAGCACTGTCTGAGGACTGGCACGTAGTAGCTGCGCAACAGTCGTCTGTGAATGAATGAATGGGTAAATGTTACTGTCCTGTGGAAACTGCCACCGCAGATCCTGGACGCTGTGTACATTATGATGACCTGTGTCTGATATTGTGGTCTCATATGCCAAGCAGAAAAAAAATAGCAAATGCGCTTACTGGACATTTTTTTACATGTATATTTCCAAAGCCAATAGCTTCTGTTTAAGTATTTCTTCCATCTTCGTCGAGCATTTGCTGGATCCGGTGTTTAAGTGTGAAACATTCTGACTAACAGGCTGCCCAGGAGGCTGGCTAGAGTTAGTCTTTAGCTAGGACAGATGTGATGAGTAATTTAAAAGTCAGTTGAGATCTAAAAGCACTCTTCATAAAGTTATTTTAACTTTCCTGGCACCTCAATTCACTTTAGAGTTAAGAACAACAGCAAAAAAAGCAGTTTTTGCCCTTTGCTAACATGCTTCTCTCACTTTACCACGTAGCCCCATATCTCAATCACTGGTCGTTTCACTCAGCAAACACTGACTGCCTGGCAGGAGCCAAGCATTGTGCTAAGTACTCGGATTCAAAGACAAGAGCTCCTGGATCACTGGAGAAGATAATCTTGTTAACAGGTGGTTGCTGTAAACTGTGACTCATGCTTTCATAGTGTATATTCAGGACCACTGAGAGATTTACATGAGGCTCTCTTGAAGTAGTGGCATTTGAGTTGGATCTGGAAGATTTGATAGAGGAGAAGAGTGAAAGGGTGGTGTAGGATGAGAACTGGGCAAATGCAAAATGCATAGAGGTATGAAAGAACACAGCATGTTTAGGGAGATAAACAGCTCACAGTCAGTGCAGCTCTCAAAATGTTCTATGTAGACCGTGAACATCAGAATCACTGGCCAGGAACCAGTTATTGATGGGACCATGTTTTGATCTTCAGATTCGAATTTTGAGAAAAATTACTCTCTATCAATTTGGAGGATGGAGGAAGGATAGGTTAGAGGCACTGTGTCAGGACATTGTGATGACAGATGATTTGGCCCTGAGCTAGGGCAGTGCCATGGGACTGGAGAGACCTGACTGCATTTGAGAGTCATTCAGGATGTAAAATTGATTTACTTGGTAACTGATTAGATGTTTGGGAAGAGTCTAGCCAACTCTGAGTTTTCCAGCTTCAACAGTTAAATAAATGTGATCCTACTAGCCAAAACAAGGAGACAGAGCAGAAGCAGATTGAGGATGTGTGTTGTCATGTTAAGTTTGAGGTACTTGGAGTATATTTTGGGGAAGGGGCCAGAATTTGAGTTTCAGTAGATTTTAGGTTCCAGGAAATAGACCAAGAAAAAAGCATTCAATTGGAGGAATTTAGTAATCTTTGTTGATTTGAGTTCCTTGCTGGGCTGCAATTTTGTGGATAAATTTCATCCTTTATTTCCTGGTAATACATGCTAAGCCTTCATAAACAGGGAAGGGCAATAGTAGGCTAAATTATGGGGAAAATCATACAAAAGAGAATATATCTTATTTTTCAAACTCAAAGTGAGACCACGTTATATCCAGTGGAGTGCCAATAAAATATAACTCATTATTCACAGACTTGGACCCTTGACATTCTCAAAGGGTTCATCTCTGACCTTCATGAGTCTCCAGAATCATGAATGTCACCATGACGTATAATTTCCACTATAAAGAGCAGTAAAGTGTAACTGAAAAATGTGAGGGATTTTTTTTCCAACTCTTAATGGTTCTATAAACATGGGACCAAGGTAATTTCTAAAGCTACTTAAATAAATTTTGCCATTAAAATAAACTGTTGACTTCATTACATCTGTACCTTATTAACTCCATATTTCTCTGACTCTGCAAAGAAAAAGAGTTAATCACAGTGTGAGAATCACTATATAGATGTCAATGAGAAGAGAAAGGCTAAGCTGTGCTGGGACACAAATGCCAGGTGTTAGGTGTGGTCCACTCACTAGTAAGCGGCTGACAAGTACACTCTCCTAGCTGACCATTCACACCTGTGTCTCAGCAAATTATCTCACGACAGGGAGCTTTCAGATCACTCAATGGCGACAGTTTTCATCCATGAGTATTCTACCTGCAAATGCCAGTGGGCTCAGACGGATAGTTCTCAGAGCACAATAATGTATCTGTGCAGCTCTAAGTGTCTCTTTCTCTCTTGGCATAGGCAGTCTCCCCTGCCTCTCTTAGCATCACGTACCTGCCTCTGTTAGCACCTTTCTGGCTGTTTCACAGTTGTGTTTGCTCACACTTGTCTCCCTCAATACCGTACACCCCTCAAGGGGATGTATCATCATGCCCTGTCGCCCAGCCTAGTGCCTGGCACCTGCTCCATAAATGTTTAAAGGACTAAATTTATTTTTATTTCCTATAACTCAACTCCATAGCTTAACTGTCTCCTTACCTATGACCAACATATAATTTTATCCTACTTCTTTCTGCATCGTACCTCTTCGTCCTTCCACTGTCTTTCCCCGCAGTGTCCGTCCTTGATGTAAAAGCAATGCCCTTTGTCTTTGAGAACTATATACTGTTTCAAGGGTTATCAGTCCTAGGCACCAAGAAATGGAAAAACTTCAATGACAAGCCCTCGGTGACAATCATTCCTTGTGAATAACTTCATTCAAGTTTATTCTCAGGGCACAGCACAAATACTCCTTTGTACTTCAAGCTTCTGATGTTCCTGTGCATGACAGAGCCCCTCAGTTCCCCGAGTTAGAGCCCTGGACCGCACTCTCCAGGACACTGGCCTCTGAACCCACTTTACAATCCACTCCCTCAGCCTCCGATGACCCCACGCTCCACTCCGTCTTTCCAGAAGCAGGGCGAGCTCTGACTTTATTTTTTCCTATCAGTTGACTCATTACTCAATTTGTCAAGTGAGCTTGTTGGAAACTCTGGGTCACAAAGGCCTATTTTCTAGTTGACCTTGGCAAAGATTTTCAGAAACAGTAGAACAGGCTACCAAAAGTTGTGGAGGAATTACCTCTGGAACTGCTTAAAATGGAGAGAATTTCTTTCTCGCTTAGATGGTCGTAAGACAGGCGAGAAGTTAAATGAATCCTCAAGGTCCAAGAGAACGGGGGGAGCTCAGGTGGTAGAGTGCATCCTTAGCATGCATGAGGTCCTGGGTTCAACCCCCAGTACCTCCTCTAAAAATAAATAAACTTAATTACCTCCCCCCAAATAATTAAATAATACAATAATAAATAAATAAAATATTTTTAAAAAGAAAAAAACTATTTTTTTTTGGAGGGGGTGAACTCCTCCTATCACCTCTTCAAGTGACCAATTTCACTTCCAAGCTAGGCTGAGAAGCTCTACATGAAGAGGACCCTGGCAATGGACTCAGGCTGCTTGGCTGAATGCGCTCAGCCCAAGACGTGGCAGCTGCTTCAAGTCGCCAATATTTATCAAGCTTTTCTGACCAGCCTCCTGTTACATCAGACTGCAGAGGCTACCCTAGTTTGTGAGCTATCCTGTTGAAGGTGACTCATGCCTGTCTCTGCCACAGAGTCCTTCTCTCGATCCTTCTCTACAGGGCTTGATGCTCTTCTTTTAATTCCATGATTCTGCAAATCCCAGTTCTCCTCTTGGCTTCTGACTCCTTTTTGCTCTTCCCCTCCCCCCCT